GCTAAAGTTTCGTCGGAACGAAGTTACGGAAAGTTAATTAACAAACGGAGACGTAACAATATCATGACACCTATCCTTCTGTATATTACCCCTTCAATCTCTAATTGCTGTTGTGTGCCAAGTTCAACCCTGAAATTATTACATATGTATTTAAAATAATGATGTATACTTTAATAATAATGGAGCTAATATACACGGATCTTTTAGTAACATTAGGGTTATTGAAGTATTCCAACTAACCTAGTAAAAATTTGAAGACCTTCTCCAACAAGCACCTGTTAACTGTGTGGCTGATTGCACACTTACAAAGCACTGGTTTGTTAGAACTCGAATATTAATTACTGTTTTATCTTTAGATATATAAACAACCATGTGGCTCTCTAGCTATCCAGATGACAGTGTGAAGATGTACAGCTTATTGAAATTGATTCTGAATGCTCCCAATGCTGAAGAGGTTCACGATAAATACGTTTCACAATACCAGTATATCATTCTTTATGTGTACTGTATAGTATATGGAAAATGTGATAGGTTGAATTTTATGAGCGTACACACTCACGTACAAGCCAGTGATGGTTTTATGAAATGGTACATTTCGTGCGTAACGCTGACACACAAACACCATCATCATCAGAAATGGACAGTGTGAATGAAAACTAAGGTCATAATAGGTGTAAAACAATTAGACTAGAGATATTTCTATGATTGATTTAGCAGAATGAAGTTATACTGTGAAGACTTTATTACATCTTTAAGTTGTGTTTCTACTTTTGTAATAAAACACACTGCTTTAAGTTGTGTTTCTATTTTTTGTAATAAAACACACTGCTTTAAGTTGTGTTTCTATTTTTTGTAATAAAACACACTGCTTTAAGTCATGTTTCCACTCCTCAAGATATTTATCTTCGAAGCAGAAGGTTGTGGGGTATAAAAAACATGTTAATATATTTGTTAAAATTATAATCCACTTGATATAATTAATACTTTGCAATCTTTGAGGTAAAACATGTTTATTCTGACTGTGTTGGTATTTTAAGCACTGTTCACAACATTTGTCGAATGTGTTTGGATATTGTTTGTAATACAACTCAGTACTTTCAATGTGGCACTTTTGGGAAGTTTATTTTATCAGCTAACCTTTATTTCCAGAATTTTACATTAAATCACCTGGTAAGTCCATCATCTTTATAATAACAACTTATTTTACATTGTTCCTTTTATACATGTTTTTTCTTTCTTTGTACAAAGAAAATTTAAAATTATCCCCAACTGCTATTAACAAGCCAACTTTCCCTATCAGTTATCCTTTTTCTTCACTGTACTTGCTAGAACTAAATCAAAGTGGTTGCATTATAAAAAAAGAAAATGGTTAGTCGGTAATAGTTAGTTGGGCAAATCCAACCAAAGCTTTGTCATCAGGTGTTTCTGTCTGGTTGTTACCTAGGTTCTGCAAAAGAAGAAAAAAAAAAGACACTTAACTTCTGTCAAATTTGTACTTATTTTGTCACCATGTAATATTTGAGACTAGACAGTTATGCTGGTGAAAGTCTCAATTACTTTATTATTACATTTAAAGTCCTAAAAATTATATACAATAATATCCCGTTTGGCACTCAGGAAGGATTCCGGAGAACAGAGTTCTAAACAGGGTCATTTTAACATTAGGTATATGGAAATATATAACTGAAGGTATTGTTTCTTACCTGTGAATGATGTACAAGTGTTTTATTTAGGTCCTGGTAAACTTAACGTAAATAACCCACTATAATATCATCATCGCTGGAAAAAAGCAAATTTTTTATTAGCCTTCAATCTTGTGTGGTTACAGAGCCATGAAATGGAAAATCAGACCCTTCCTGCCATGCCCACCAATCACATCCTCTCTTTCAGTATTTGTCAATACGTGTAGTTCTCTCTTACGTTTATGACTATATTAGTTATAACCAATAGACAAGCAAGGTTTTTGTCTTTCAAATCATGTATTATATTACGTTGTTTCTGTGTAGAGATTTGTAGATCGCTTCCTAAGAAAATGTTTTTTTTTCCACACGGGAACGATACTGTGTAGATGGATGATGTTTTAACGGGAATGATAATTGGATGATGTTTTAACGGGACAATACTGTGTAGATGGATGATGTTTTAATGGGAACGATACTGTGTAGATGGATGATGTTTTAACGGGAATGATAATTGGAT